GTTTGGCAATGTTTGCGCCTCCCTTGGCTTATTGAGTTTCGTGACGCAAACTTCAAGATGCAAAATGTTTTCCTGCTCATCCTGCAGTCTAGCAACACATGGATTACAGCCTGGTTCCCTGGTCTTCAGCTTCTTAAAGCGTTTCAGTCCTGATGTAGGTATTATTAAGGCTGCATTCATCCCCCGGTGAAGCTGCAAGGAATCTGAGGATACAGGGTAGAAGGTTAATACAGGTGCAGCTTAGAGGGATGCATGAAGATCACAAGGTGGGAAGTATCGTTTCCCTTTGTTTTTCCGTGATGGCAGGCAGGCATCTAACAGTGAGGGAGAGGAAACGGAGATTCAATAGCTTATATTACTGAAAGTTACCTTGTAAACTATAAATTAAAGGGGCTATATCTGTCAGGTTCAAGTCCAGGGCTGTGGTGGCTCAGAGGTTAAGACACTGAACTGCAGACCGGAAGGTCAGTAGCTCTGCAGTTCGAGACCCAAGTGTCGCGTGACGGAGTGAGCTCCCGTCTCTGGCCCCAGCTCCTGCCAACCTAGCAGTTCAAAAGCAAGAAATTGCAAGTAGATAAAATAGGTACCACTTTGGTGGGAAGGTAGCAGCATTCTGTGTGCCTCGACATTTAGTCATGCCGGCCACATGACCACTGAGAAGTCTTTGGGCAGCGCTGGCTCTTCGGAAACGGAGATGAGCACTGCAACCCTAGAATCGGAGTCGACTTTACCTTTACTTTAAGGTGCGACTGGACTCGAATCTTGCACTTCTACTGCAGACCAACACAGCTAGCCTCTGAAAGTATTCTCGTAGGTGATGTATCGTTTACCTAGATGCAGTAGTGTCGTATGATGGAAACTGGTTCACTTCCGTCATATATATTTTTTTCTCTCTGCATGTATTATTGCTTAGCAACATGCAATAGCTGTAAAACGAGTTCTGCTGTGGCAAAAATGAGGACTCAACTAGACCTGATGTTCTTTAACAAGTTGGATTGGTGTCTCCCGGACCCAGCGCTTATTCCCCTCTGTCAGGCAGCAGCTGTTGAGAGCGACCTTCCAAAGCGCTGCAGGAACCCGGTTCAGATGGGGATTGTGGCATGGGGGCTGAAGGAGTTTAGCCCTCCCCTCCCACCATTTTCCCGACCTGAAATGGCCCCAGTGGGAAAATGGTGCGGGGGAGGCTGAAGCCCCCTTTCGCCTTGTGCCATGGTCTCGTTCCAAATTGGCCCCCGGCCACTCTGGAAAGCTGGGGTCCTCCTTAGATGCTGTTTGACTGAGGGGAATGAGCATTGGGTCAGGGGATCCTCCTTGACTCAGCTTGGTGCCAGTCTGGTGTCATGGTTAAGTGCGCAGACTGTAATCTGGGAGAACCGGGTTTGATTCCCCACTCCTCCACTCGCTGCTGCTGGATGACCTTCGGCAAGCCATAGTTCTGACAAGAGCTGTCCTTGAAAGGGCAGTTTCTGTCAGAGCTCTCTCAGCCCCACCTACCTCACAAGGTGTCTGTTGTGGGGAGGGGAAGGGAAAGGAGATTGTAAGCTGCTCTGAGACTCATTTGGGTAATGAAGGGCGGGTGAAAATCCAATCTCCTCCTCCTCCTCCTCCTGCTCCTCCTCCTCCTCCTCCTCCTCCTCCTCCTCTTAAAAAAAGTCTGATTTGTATCTTAGACTCTCCAGGCACCCCAAGGACCGGCACAAAAATTGCGGCCGAAGCCTGCTTCATTAAAGATGTGAAGTGAGCCCTTGGTTGGAAGACATGCATATGTTTGACTGGGGAGGGGAGATGATAAACTGAGGCTACATGGCAATGAAATGTAAGCTTCTGTTGTAATCCCTGGCTTTTTGTTGTTCAGTCGCACAGTCGAGTCCAACTCTTCGCGACCCCATGGACAAGATCTCGCCAGGCCCTCCTGTTTTCTGCCGTCCTCTGAAGTTTGCTCAATTTCATGTTCGTTGCATCTATGACACTGTCCAACCATCTCATCCTTTGCCGTCCCCATCTTCTTTGACCTTCAATCTTTCCCAGCATCAGGGTCTTCTCCAGTGAGCGCTCCCTTCTCATTGGGTGGCCAAAGTATTTGAGCTGAAGTAATTACTCGCCTAATTGTAACAAATTGCAAAAGGAAACGTACTGTGCTTAAAATTTGCTTTCCCGAATACCGGGTGTCCCAGTCTTTAAAATAAACAAAAGGAAGGGGAGAACTCCCCACCGTCCTCCTGAAGTTGGGAGGGGGTGAAGAGCGGGTCCAGTCCCCTGAGCTGGAGCATTTCCTGTCAAAGGACTCGTGGTACTACAGAGCTGAGGTTTGGAGGCAGTACTTGGGATGGTCTCTCTCCAGGAGGAGAGGGAAGGAGGACAGGCCCACACGGAACCTTCAGGATGAAGGATCGTTGTTCTGGAGGCCGGGCGTGAAGCGGTCTGGTTTCCAGGAAGGGAGGAAATTAGTTCTAGAACGATGGGCCAGTTGCACGTACACAGAGAGAGAGAGAGGGAGGGAGGTCTCAACCCGTCACCTGCAGGCCATTCTTCTTGCCGTGTGAGTTTTATTTTCAAGCTGGGGATACCCTGCAAGGGTGTGTGAGAATAATCAGGGGTCAGCCTGTAGGGTGGTGGTGGACAGAAGATGCCTTACACTTCTTTTGGAATGGTGAGATACAAATCAACCACAGTTATACAGGATGAAGGTCTAATTTGAATGGGTGTGGACGGCAGTGTTCCCTCTAAGCTGAGTTAGTGTGAGCTAGCTCACAGTTTTTTAGCTTCCAGCTCACACATTTGTGTCTTCGCTCAGGAAGGATGGCTCCAAAGCAAACTGATTGATGCAGCAGCCAAATCGCTCGCTCACAGCTTTAATGCCAGTAGCTCACAAAGTAGAATTTTTGCTCACAAGACTCCACAGCTTAGAGGGAACACTGGTGTGGAGAGCCACGATTTTAGCATTTGCTGCTTATTCCCGTGCTCCATAGTTTGGGGGCGGGGGGTGGGGGGAGAGAAGTGCATGGTACCTATGAATTTGCAGTGTTGGGGGTTTTTTTTCCACCCGTTCTGTGGACCATAACAAATGTCCCTTATTTCAGAACATTGAAACTGGGAGAGAGAATATACCAGATTGCTGTCATGCTGTGTGTTTAATTTTTTTCTTGGCAACCTCTCCGGCTGTGTGTTGCTTCCCAGACTTTTGCGAGAAACGGCAGACTCATTCAGCAAGTCAGTCGGTACGGTGCAGGGTAAGCCCCAGAGGGGCCCCAGGGAAAAGACCGCACCTCCGGGTCGCTATAGTAAATAGACAGTACAGAGTGTACCATGCAGCGAGGGTGAAAAGTTCCATCACCAGACGACGAAGAATTGACAGGAAATTTTTTGCTAATGGCAAAGCCACAAAGGCTGCCTGCCCTCAGAACAAGAATGTAGAGTGTTTCCTCTTAGTGACTAACTGTAGCATCCTAAGCAGAGTTAACTCTTCCAAATCCACGGACGTCATTGACCTTTGAAGAGTCTAACTCTGAGTAGGATGGCACTACAAGCCTGAAAGCAAAAATGTTTGTATGGCACGATAGAATGTGTCTTCACCAGTTAATCTGGGGCAATGCCATGTATTTTAAGTTCCAACTTGGTCTCACTTTGTTGATTTTTTTTTAAAAAAGGGCATAACAGGGTCACTGAGGATAGGGCAAATGTTTCTGCAAACCTTGGGGGACCCCCACATATGCAGAAAAATTTAAAAGGTTAATATCCCCGCAGTAATTTGCAACATCTGCACAAAGTATCAACTCCCCCCCCCCTTTAAAATTAGGCTTCAGCTGTGGGAGATGTAATCAGGCTTGGGGGGAGCATGTGACCAAGGGGGGGGGGATAAGGAAAGTAGGCCACTGAGACGGTCATGCAGGGGAAAGCGAATGACCAGGAGGGTTGGGGAGGAAAACGTGTGTTGGGGCTGGGGGTTGGGAGGGGGCAGAAGAAAGCCTGTGATCGGGAGGCTTGGAGATGGGACTTCACCTCCGCTTTAAGTCCTCACAGTATCCCCTTTTGTAGATAAATAATATTAACCTAGGGGCTGCGGTGGCTCAAGTGGTTAAGACGCAGTTCGAGACCCGAGTGCCGCACGACGGAGTGAGCTCCCGTCTCTGGCCCCAGCTCCTGCCAACCTAGCAGTTCGAAAGCAATAAATTGCAAGTAGATAAATAGGTACCGCTTTGGTGGGAAGGTAACAGCGTTCCATGTGCCTCAACATCTAGTCACGCCGGCCACACGACCATGGAGAAGTCTTCGGACAGCGCTGGCTCTTTGGCTTGGAAATGGAGATGAGCACCACATCCCTAGAGTCGGATTCGACTGGCTTTCGAGCAAGGGGAAACTTTTTACCTTTACTGATATTAACGTACTATCCACATATGTCCAAATAAACAGGTCTCCTTCAAATAAACATTGCTAGGCCTCTTCTCTTGCCATTCCGCTGGGGATTATTCTGTCTCTGCTGGAATGAGGGAAGCCCTGCTTTGTTGGGACACAAACATCTGGAGGTGGTGTTATTTCACTGTGGCTCCGCAGCAGCCTTTGAGTCACTGCGGCAACAGTGTTTGACTCCAGGAAGGTGAAGCAGGGACCTGGCCACCATCTCTCTCCTCCCCCCAGGCTGTCTTATCTCACAGTCAGCATAAGGAACCGACCCAGAGCTGTTGTGGCTTCTCCTTGGTGCTCAGTGAGAGGAGATTGGCCCGTGTTGTCTGCTTTGTCAAAAACCTTGACGGTTGTCTGTACTCCAGCCAGCCTCCCAACCTGCCGCTAAATGTCATTCACTTCTCGGCCTTTTGGCTGCGATCAAGTGTAGCAATGTCAATCTTAAAAGAGCAAATACACGAAGGGTTGAAGAATCAAAAGTATTAATATCAGAAATCCCTCGTTTGCATTTCTGTGAGCTGCTTTGCGTCTGTCTGGTCAGTGGGCTGCAGAGGCTTTCTCTGAGACTGATCCTTTGGAACCTGTGTTTGTTTCCACAGATTACCTTGCGAACCATGGGCGGCTGAGCGAGTCTGAGGCAAGGCGCAAATTCTGGCAAATCCTCTCCGCCGTCGAGTACTGTCACAGCCGGAAGATTGTGCACCGTGACCTCAAAGCTGAAAACCTCCTGCTTGATAACAACATGAATATCAAAATAGCAGGTAGCTATATCTCCCCCCCCCCCCCCCCCTTTTTAATGCCTGTGGTATAAATCCTTCTCTCTTCCAAATGACCTTTGTTAATATCCTGTGGCAACCCAAGGGAAGTGGAAAGGCAGCAAGGCTTGTCTGCCTGCTCCCTTTGCATTGTGGGTGATGTAGGATGTTGGCACTAAAGTTGTGCTAAAAATAGCCCTGCTTGTGCTCTTTTTGCTCTTTGGGGAAATGACAGTAATTTGTAGAGTTTCTTATTAGTTTTTTTTTTTTGTAGTGTCATGACAACTCACTAGCACTGCCAGATGCACAGGTTACAATCAAATTAATCAAATAACTCTTCAGTACAAGAAAAAGCTCAAAATGGAAAGTTTCTGGGTTATTTTAGCATGCTTGATTTAATTTTGATTACAAATTTAAACTCAGCAGATGTTCCTTGCAATAGGATAATTTCCTCTTGCCTCCATGCAATGCTAAGGCTCCTTGGATTGCCAGACCAGAATTTCAACAACAAAGGACACTCTCGAGCAGAATACTTTTGCACTTCTATAGTGCTGTGGAATTCTTGGAATAAAAGATGTCTGACAACTTTTCCAGATGGTGTTTAGTTCCAAGGCAGAGGGGAAGAATGATTTGTTTGAGACTGCTTGGCATTACTTACGTAGATAGAGCAGATACGGCAGAAAAAGCAGCTGCACTGAGAAGAAAGTGTGAAGTAAAGTGAACTTTTTAGAATTAAATTCTGTGAAATTTATTCGCTTTGCAAGATGCGCCATGCTGGCATCTAGCGCTAATTCCTGCAGATGGAAGAGCAGGATCACTCTGATCCGTACACTTAACTTCTTCTGCATTCAGTGGTAAAGGTAAAGGTCTCCCTTGCTCGAAAGCCAGGCGAATCCAACTTTAGGGGGCAGTGCTCATCTCTGTTTCCAAGCCAAAAGCCAACGCTGTCCGAAGACTTCTCCGTGGTCACGTGGCCGGCATGACTAGATGCTGAGGCGCACGGAACGCTGTTACCTTCCCACCAAAGTGGTACCTATATATCTACTTGCACTTTCTTGCCTGTGGGTTATTTTATAATAGCATGTTTGATTGGCTTATGCTGATTTCCCCCTTTCCCATTACGAGTGGAAATTTACTTAGTAAAGCAGAAGTTAGGAAAAGGAGAAGTGTTAAGTTCCTTTTGTGTGGTTGGTATCTATCTCGTTTGCTCTGCTGGGAAAAGTTAGGATAGGTCCAGATCTCCTTTTGAGAACTTTTTGTGGCTGTAAAGAAAAAAAAACTGAAAAATTACAGAAGAAAAAAATGTGTATAATTTCTGTGTATTGAGCAACACTGTGTATTTGGCACATGGCAGTGTTGGTGGCATGCACTCCACTCTGGAAAAATCTGCAGCAGTATTAGTTTATTATTCACTTGGGGACCCTCCCTGCAGCATTGTCTCTAAGGCAGAGGTGTCGAACTCATTTGTCATGAGGGCCGGATCTGACATAAATGAGACCTTGTTGGGCCAGGCCATCTGTGTCATAAAATGTAATGTCAGATAGCGGAGATATAAACTTTATAAAGGACACAAATACAAAGGGTTTTTTTTAACTTAAAATAAAGACATGCTTAAAACACTAGCTCTGTAAGCTGCAAACCTCCTTTTGATTTATTGACATTCACCCCAGAAATCTCATGCTCAGAGTTCTGAGTCTAGGACCCAAGTTAAAACATGAAATGGCTGAGTGATTGAGAGAGTCTGACGAAGCAAGCGATGATGCAGCAGCAGCAGCAGCAGCAGAACTAGAAGCAGGAGATGGCCAGTTCCACTGCGGGCCTGATGGAAGCCCTCTGGGGGCCTGATCTGGCCCCTGGGCCACATGTTTGACACCCCTGCTCTAAGGCATATCAGAGTACCTTGAGAATTAAGTTAGTGTAATTTCCCTGGCAGTTCTCAAGACATCTTCATGCATCCAGTGACGGTGTTTCTGCTCAGTTCTTCCTCCATCCAGTGTGGATGTATTTATGAAGCTTTGTTGGTCTGTATATCCTCCAAGATGGCTTCACCACTGAAAAGATCAACACAGGATCATATAATTAGGACAGTGGTATCCTAAAGGCCTCCTAGCTTGTTCTGAGGTTGTATTGGATTTCCTATGGTGGTTAGCCAGATGTTTCCGGGAAGCCCATAAGAAAGGCATGAGTACAGTAGTCCTCTGCAGTTTTTGACTCAGGAACTGGTATTTAAACTGTTTTTTTTAGCATGGAGATTCCATTTTAAGCCGTCACAGTTGTGACTGGGGCCAGGGCTTTCACATGGTGCAGCTATGCTTCAGGGGTTTTCTTCCCTTTAAGGTTCATCTGTCATCTTTTCGGTGTGTAGAGGCACCAGGTGAAACCACATTGTTTCGTGCCGCTTTTGTTTTGAGTTTGTGCATTCTTACTGCTGCTGAATTTTAAGCGACTTGCACCATTCACTGTGGTTTCTCTCCAGATCGTACAAATCTTTTGCCTTTTATGTTCTCAAAGATTTATCCTTGATTTGTAAGGTCGCTATTTTAGTAGCTGATATTTTTTATTTTCAATAGTAGTGTTATATTACTTTTAATGCATTTTGGGGGTTGTCTTTTTAAACATTTATTGGAAGCCACGGCAAGTGTCAGAAAAAGCGGGATTTAAATGTTCGGAATAAATATAACGCACCGTGCTGAGGAGTATTTTGACATTCTCCCCTTGCTTCCCTGGACCTTCTGGTTGGAGGTTTGCAAGTTTGGCAAAATACTCCTGAGCTCTTGGCAGGGCAATCAGGGTGGCAAATATTTGTGTACCCCTTAAAGCTGGACTCTGCTTCTCGGGTGTAAATCCTCCTTCTGGTTGGTGGAGCCCCAGGAAGAAAGGGTCTGGCTGGGGTTTTTTGTCAGACTCCCGGCTACTTTGAGAGAACGCCTCCCTGTTGAGAACACGCTCACGCGCCTTCTGGTTAGAGTTTGCAGATTTTTGAGGGTCTCGTGAAGGTCCCTGTTAATAATTCACTCTTCAGTGTGCTGCCTAAGTGGCTTGTGCTCCGGTGAGGAAGGAAAGATGACTTGCAGCACCTTTGAGCCTAAGTAGATGCTCTTGTCCATTTGCAGCCCATTCCTGCAGACACCTTGTTCCCTTTAGCGCCTCTTTAAATGCCAGGAGTGTTAACCCTGGCAGAGCAGCTTGAAGATCAACTGGAGGTCTCCGTGTTCTGGTTACAGTTAGGTCATGCAAAGGAAAGCAAGAGACCACTATTTTGAAAGGAAGGGCTGGCAGCCTTTTCCGCCGGTGGACAGTGTAACATGCATTGACGTCAAGACTGGGTGATCAGTGATCAGTATTCAGTTCCTGGAGTGGGTCAGGTTTGCGTCTGTCACACCTGTACCTTTCCTTTTATCTGTAAACTTGCCATTCTGCTCACGTTACCAAACAACAGCAGATCCCCAAAGCTTCCCTCCGAAGCCAAGTAACTTGACTTTTGCGAGCAAGTGAATGTACTCTGTTAAAACGATTCCCCTTTTAAACACATTTGCGCTTTTCCACGAAAGGCTTTTTCAGAGGCGAGAACTTGAGACTCCCTGGTTTTAAATAGCAGGGCGCATTTCGAAGGCAGATGGGTGCCGCTTCTGCGTCTCTTGCAAGTGAAACTTTGCTCAGTTTTCTTTCATGGATAACGTAGAAGATTGAGAAATCAAAAAGCACTGGGGGAGAGGATGGCTTTCGTTATGAACGTGAAAGATAAGGTCCAAGAACCAACACATACATAGCCAGCTGCAAAAGAGAGAGTGGCTGTATTTCTGGTATGCCCATACAGGCATACCGTAGCTGAGTTTACATTCATGCTAGTTAAACTTCGGGAAGGGACACACTTTCTTATTAGTGATGTGTTCTCAGCTTTTAAATTCTGGCTGCACCTCCTCTATAGAAGTGAGCCTAATAGTCTCATCGCTTATATGCTATATGAATCTCACCTATCAGACTGGTTGACACATGTTGAAGGGAAAATTATACTGATGGGGCTCAGCATGGATGAATTGATCCTTCTTTCGGAGAAGTATGCTCTTGGCATGATTAAACAGAGATTGATTGACATAGAAGTGCAAGAACTTAGAAGCCTTGATACTGGGCATTGCTCTCCCATTCATTGGGGGATTTCTCTTAACGGTCCGCTTCCAGAGTATTTTTCCTATCTGATTGATCCCTGTTTTAGAAGGGTATTCACGCTGGCCCATTTTAACGTGCTCCCCTCAGCTGTGTTATATGGGAGATTTTAAAAAATACCATTCCTGGATAGGTTTTGTCCCTGTGGGCTAAAGGAGATTGAAGGAATGGACCGTGTACTTTTGTCTTGTGGACTTTACCAGGATTTACATGCTTATCACCTCGTCCCTAGACTGCGATCCCTGGAGGGCAAATCTGAGGAAAGTAAGATAATGAACCTCCTAGCCTCAAACAGGGCCGATACCATCGAAGCGTTGGCAAACTTCCTTTACAGAACGTATAGGAGGAGAAGTTCTTTTTCGGCAGAAGGGGTGGCGAATTAACTGTTTTGCTTGTTTGCCATTTTCGTACCGAAGGCTGTTGTTATGCCAATAAAGGTTTGCTGTGTTGTGTTGAGTGATGTGTTGGATCCCTGGAGCAAGAGACAGATCAGTCTCGATTGTAGAAACATGGGAGGCAGGGCCTCCGTAAGGCCGTGCAGGAATGGAGTTCTAGACGTACAACTCTGTCTGGCAGGAGACGCTCTCAGAGTCATTGGTGGCAGTTGGCACTTACCCCGTTTGTTACCAGCATCCTTTGGGAGTGAGGGGAAGGGGCGCATCACCAGTTGGAAACTTATGGCCGTGGCAGGGTTTTCCCGACCTCCCAGGGGCCAACCAGAAAGTCCCGAGAAGAGCTTGCGAGTTTGTTCCTTCGCAGTCACCATCAGCCTATTCGGATCCAGGGCTGATCAACCTCAAACTGCATCTGTCGCCCCTCAGCTTCATTGAATGCCCTTGAGT